CCGCGGCACAGGGCGGCCCTGCCAGCCTGCACGGGCTCCAGGGCGGCGGTGGGCTGTGGGAGCAGATGCCGGGGTAATTTGCTGCATTGTGTAACTAAAAGTCTTGAAATCTTCCTGTTCCAGGCCCCTCCGGAGAAGGGATAACAGTGCTTGTGCGTGGGACCTGGGAGATGGAAAGGGGTTTAGTCTTCTGTGGGATCTCTTTCGGGAGAATACAGTCCTGCTCTCACCGTTGCCGCGCAGAGGAGGGTTGCTGTAGGCTACCCATTCCTGCGGATTAGTCAAGACGTTTACGGGGAGCAGATGTGATACTTGCAGTCATTACTTGGTCTCATCAGTCTTAATTACTGCAAATATGGTTATTTTATTTCCTAATAGGGCAAACTGTAGCTGGCTGCCTGGCAGCTGTGAATTTCGTTTCCAAACACGTATTACTTGTCGCAGCTATTCCAAGACAGAGCTGTAAATGTCATAACTATGTTCTGGATGGCTTTTTTTTTTCCTTTTTGCAAAGGGGAGAGAAGATTTCCAATTGAACTGGCTGCCTCACGTGTGCTTTTTTTTTTCTTCTCTCATTTGAAACTGTTTCTGTGTGGGGGCAAGAAGGAAATCAGTGAGAAGCCTTTCTAAAGGAAGAGCTTTCTAAAACTGGCCTTTCTTAATAAGGATTTTCAATGAGTCAGGGAAAAATGTTGTGGCATGCAGAACTCATCATGTAAACCCTCTGGCATCAGGCTTTGGAAATCTTGCTTCATGGTTTCAAACCTTGTTCAGTTCAAGGTTTTTCACTGTGCCTCAGCAATGCAAGAGAGGTCATGTCTAACCCGCCGAAAGTCTTTGGTTTTATAGAGAGATGCCACCTGAGCACCCGCAGGAGGAGGAATGCTGCTTGCAGGGAAAGAACAAATAGGTGATTTCGGTGTAGCTGAGCTCCTGGGGAGCGGTGGGAGAATTAAACCTGTGTGTCTCAGGAGCAAAAGGGAAAAATCCCCAACACCTCATCAGCACCCCCCAGCTTTTGCTTCGGTTAGCTTTTATTGCCAGTAGTTTTAACAAGTAGATTGTAGTCCTTGCTGTTAGGTTTTATTGCCAACACCTGGTAGCCTCATCTTTTAAGGATGTTTCAGGCAAATCGGTGTAGTTTAGACGATGCTTTAGAGTTCAGTGAATGCTGTGAGAGCTCAGTATGACTCAAAGCAAGAGGTGGCTGGAAACTCCGGTGTGCAGCCCGTGTGGGGAAGTGATGTTAAGCAAAACCCGGTGTTCGTACTGGCTTTTCAGAAAAAGCGTGATGGGCGGGTGGGCTGCTCCCCATACCGAGAGCCCAAAGGTATATG